TAGTATGTGAAAGTCAAAATATCCTGTAAATATCTTTGTATATATACAATAAAGACACGCTATGCTAACCTGACTGCGGGTTAAAAAAAAAAAAAAAAAAAAAAAAAATTGAAAGATATCACAATGTTTACAGACTTTTACAAAATGACTAATTTATTATTATACATTATTAGTTTAAGAACTATACTACTTAAAAAATATAAGAAGTCCACTAAGCTAGTTTGAACTAAACAAAACTAAGTCTAAACTAGATACTCTAAGTTAGATTTAAGGAATAATATTATGATCTCCTAGTAGCTTGATATAAAGTCTTTAAATCAATTAGAATCATTGCCAATAGTTTGTTACTGTTGATTATTTTAAACAATAAATTGTTAAAGTTGATACTGGGAAAATGAAGAAAAGAAAATATAATTCAAAGTTTTTCAAAAGATTTTTACTTTATTTCATAATTTTTTTTTAAAGAAGTTTGTCTAATTAGGATATTCTCTAAGCTTCATGATATTTGAGAAACTTAAGTATTCTTTTTTTTTTTTTTAAACCACAGCTGGTATTAGATGCGAGCTGTTTATTGATAATTAAATCTTAAGCATTATATCAATCATCTCATATATATACATGCAGATTAATGATAACCTATCATGGCTTGTCCTAGGTAGACCTGCTTGAAACCCACCTGTAGGTGGGCATGCCTGATTAGGGGCCGGATGGTTGATAACAGTCATCAATGACAATGTTGATATAGTTAGCTAATTTTGTTACTAAGGGACTATATTGCTATACTAACTTATACACTAGTGTCAAATCCTCAAGGGTTAATTTAACTACCCAGATACTCTGATACTTTTCACTTGAACCACAGAAGGGATTTCAATCTTCTTTGTCACCACCTGTGGCATTATAGACAAGTCCTATTCGACAGATCCTTTATTTAAGCAAGTACCAGATTGGGATATTCCAAGTTAGAGTAGTTAGATTCTAGAGTCTACTAGTACAGTTTGGAATAGGGAATGTTTAGATGATTGCTGTAGTTTTAAAAGTGGGATCTCAGAGTCTGTTGATACAGTTTGGGGTTAGTATTATGTTCAGATAATTATCGCAGTCCTAAAAGTGGGATCCTGGGGTTTGTTTCCTATCCAGTTCAGGGGGATTAGGTCAGGCGTAATTCGTGTAACCAGACCAAAGGCCTTTCTTCATGCAATCCTCGCGATAGATCCTTTTCAGCCCGATAATCAACAAAGAGGCCAGAAGTCCTATTCTCGTGCAACCTGATTGTTTTTTCTCATATAGTTCTTGTATGATATTGAACTTTAGACCTTGTAATTGTGATCTGGGAGTATTACCATTGTGCTATAGACCTACAGGTCGAGAAACTTAAATATTCTAAAAGTGACTCCAAGAAAAATATTTAAAAAACTTATCCTTCTACTAATATACAGATTTGTTTAATGCTATTGAAGTCAGTACCATATTATAAAAGAGTTTACCTAACCAAAATAAAAAAATCTTTTCAAGAACTTTGCCTGACCAGAATAGAAGCTTGGAGACCTCAGCTTTTGTCCAAAAAAACCTTTTTATCACCTCAGAAACTTAATAAGAGATAAGAATTAGATCTTCTTTTCCTATTTGTCATTTACCTTTTAATATTATAATTGTTTTCTGAAGGTTGAATATACATGATTGGAGAGATCACTTTTTATAGAACTTTTTTTACTACATCATCAATAATATAACAAGATACATGAGTATAACCAATAGATGCTTATTTATATTTCAAAAACTAATATGTTTCATATTGACCAATCACTTTTGATAAGGATTTATATTACTTAAAATTCAGTATCAAACTGAGATAGGCAAAATTACTTAGAAAACTATGAAAATAGGAGCTCTAAGAGGATCAAGACAATCAAAAAGAGAGAAAATAAGTCTTTTTACTATAGAAAACCTCTATAAGCCTATCATTTCAAAAGTTAGAAAAATCTTGAAATACCTTACAATCAGTTTTTCTTTCTTTGAAAATTTTCTTGCCATTTGTATCAAAGGTATTACTTGACTTTTCTTGATTACTAGAAATTAAGTTTTTGAGTGAAGAGATTTATAGACAATAGGGAAAGGGTAAAAGTAACTCTTGAAGTCATACTTCAAGTTGTTTTAAGGAATATATTAAGACTTTATTAGCAAGGAAATGTAAAAACTTCTTGTGAACATCTTTTTTATGTATGATCAGAGAATTAGTAGAAAGAGTTTTTTAAACAATTAAAAAATAAAATATTAATAAATTTATTATTATTATTATTAATTATTATTATATTTAATATATACGTATATATTTATAATCAATAAATATTTGTTTATATTTTTTATCAATATATTTTACAGTATATCAATTAATTATTTTTAATAAATATTATATTATTTAAAAATTTAAAATCAAATTAAAATAAAAAAATTTTTTAAAAAATTAAAAAATTAGATAATTATAAAAAACTGAATTACAAATAATTTTTTATAATTTTGAATTTTGGCCACTTATTTTTTATTGCATAAGTTCTTTACATAATATATTACTTTTGAAAGAAAGATTTTTAATAATATACTTTTGATTTTTCTCTTTTTTGTATATTGTCAAAAGATCAGTAAAAAAAAGTTTATTTTGAAAAAATTTTAATAAATTTTTTATTTTAAATAAGATACATACATATTAAAAATTTATAACCTTTTCTTTCGAAATATAGTACATATACAGTAACTACTCTTATAGTTGTTTACAATAATTTATTTATTTAGATAATACGAATTTTTAAATAGCTGCAAAAAAAAAAGAATAATAAATAAACAAATAATAGATAAACAAATAATAAAATAGAAAAACCGGATTATCAATCAAAAAAACTTAAAATATCAAAACCGAAATTGAAATGCGTCATAGGAATTCGTGCATACTATGTAGAATTCTATTATTATCGTATAAGGATCGTATACATTAAAGATGATAATAAAATATTGGAGCGCCCAAAATGAATAACTCCCTAGTCATAAGAGTGATCATTTCTGCTGAATTAATCAGCGTGATATTCAAATTATAAGTTATGAATGAAGACCTCGGGTGATTTTTTTTTAAAACCTTTAGTAGAAAGCAGTCGATATGATTGATTCGTCGCATTTACTGTTGTTGATTTCAAGGCTCAATTGGAAATACAAAAGAACTATAATAACGCATATGTTTTAATAAATAATAGATAATAATAATTTAAGTATAAAATAATTATATTAACCAAATATTCAAAGAAAGTGTTATTAAATAAATATTAAATATGCACAGATTTTACCATGTTAATAAATTATAGCAACACAACTAGAAATAATTCCTCCGATATTAGACTCCAACTCTTTGGACGAAATTAACTAGTGCGTTCAAAACTTCTTGTGGCTTTTCCTCCTGAGGTAAATGGCCGCACTTTTCTATTGTGACAAGTTCTATCATAGCATTCTCAGGTGCATTCAGCTTAATATATTCAAACACTTCTATATGTTTGTCTATATTCAAATACCTATCATCACTACCAACTATATAACAGATTGGTATCTGTTGCAAAATGTGTTTGTAGTCAAGAATTTGCAAAGGGTTAAAATATTTCATCAACCATGAAAACGATTCATAAAAATTCGGTAGGGTAAGGGGAACACGATAACATGGTTTTATGACTGTTTCCCATTCAGGGATTGATTCGGGGTCGTAGTATAAGCGTGTGTGCGGAAGCATTTGATATAAGGTAGCCTTAAGAAAGAGACGGCCAGGCATTGAACCCAGGATTTGACGTCCGATCGGTGGTGGCCCTATTTGTCACGTGAAAATAAGCAAACATATTTTGATTCATAGCACGAAAATAGATTTATGCAGATACCTTGGTCTTCAGGTCTAATGGAAGCTCCCATCAAAATTAAAGAATGTACTTTATGAGGATATTTTATGGCGAACGCGCAACTTATTGCGGCTCCGGAGGATGTCCCTACAAATATAATTTTTCTATCTCCATATCCTAATCGTTCCACTAGTTGGGTAACGTGTTCGACCGATGCCTCTTGAGTGTATGGGTTATTATTTTCTTCCCATTGTGTTGGCCTTTCAGTAAATCCAAACGCCGGTCTGTCATAGGATATAACATGACACCCTGTGATATCTGCTAAAGGTTGCGCAAGATATTTCCAAGTGTATTGATTCCCTAGCATGTGATGAAGACAAAGAATCACTGGCTTATGAGGTTCGTTTGGTAAGGGTGATTGATTTTGGAAGATTTGATGTTGCTTGGGAATTGCAACTTTGTAATACATTTGGATATCTTTAACTACCACAAAACGTCCATCCTTGTCTTCGGCTGCAACGGATTCAAGAAAAACTCTTTGGATAGAAGGAAGAGACATTTTTACAATATACTATTAAAGAATGCAAAGGGAAAAAACTACAAGTTTGCATACAAAATGTTTCCATGAGAAGAAAAAAATTTTTAGCAGTTCACAGACTTTTTATGGGCACGCTAGCTTACTCTGAGGGGCAATTATTTTCTTACGTACGTATTGTACAACATAAGTACACAGTATACTAATGATTTATATGTGCAACCCAGAAATTAGAATCCGTATGGTGAAATGGTCAATACGTTTCTCGCGCCACCGTACATATCCTTGCCATGTTAATGAACTCAACGTGTACAGAATTGCTGCTTCTCGCTTTCTTATTGGCTTGATTTAACTGTTGGAGTTTACTTCCACGATTATATAAGTATCCTAATTGAAAACATCTGTACAAACGATAATATCAGGTCATCAAGTAAGTTTGGGTATTGTTAGGGGTATTGTTACTGCAGCGAGATTTCTACTTTTAAACCTACAAGTAGTTATTGATTTATGATTTTTATTTGTTTAAACATTTTACACAGTGAATCTCGATATAACGTAATCCCAAGTGCCGGCGGGTATATTATAATCCGTTATATCATGTATATCTGTTTTGGTCTATTCCGTTATTCAAGATATTTCATACTCCTTTATAGTGAAGTTTAGTTTCATCGTGTTTAATATATTTAGATATGATTAAAATCAAATATACAGTAGTTTTTGTATTAAAACTATTTATAAATTGTTGTTGAATCATTATAGACCGTTTATTTATTTATTTTTTTTAATTCGCAATCATGCTATTATGGTTTACTTTATTGAGACTGTTGGAAAAAATATCTACAATATTCTATATCGACTTTCACATAATAGTTAACTTATCATTGTATATTACTAGTTAAAGAACTATATTATTTAAAAAATATAAGAAATTTATTAAGCTAGTTTAAATTAAATAAAATAAAGTTTAAATTGAATACTTTAAATTAAATTTAAGAAATAGTATTTACATATTTGATAAAATAATATTTAACTTTTTATTTATCAAGATTATCATTAATAGTTTATCATTATAAATTATTTTAAAAACAATAAATTGTTAATTAATTAAGAATAAAAAAAAACAATTTAAAAATTTTCAAAAGATTTTTATTTAAATAAGCAATTTTCTTTCAAAAGAAATCTGTTTGATAAAAATATTTCTTATTTTAAATTATTTAAAAAACTTATTTATTAATTATTGCTATCTAAAAAACATATTATTTTAAGTTTTAAATAAAAATTTTGGTTATAATTTTTATCTATAAAACTTAAACTTATTTTTTTTTTTTTTAATTCTCTGTCAGGCTAGTTTTTTTTTTTTTTTTTTTTAAAAAAAACTGTCGAAGTCATGCCATATAGTTTTTATTTAATCATTCATATTGCAAGAAAAATACATTTATGATAGGAAAAAAACTAATGACTCAATATCTTACAAACCTTGCGACTTACTTTAATTCACCATTAGGTGAATGTTAGCATGTCATAACTCCACTAATACTAATATTTGTATAGAAGAAAGAGTTAATATTAAAACTGTTCTGTAGTATATTTCTCATGTTAAAATTTGTTAGCTCTATAAATAGGTTTTCCTTATTTTTTGTCGATCTTTCGTTCCAGAGTGTTTCCTTGTTTTGCGGTATAGTGTTGTCCCTATTTCGTTCTCATTTCATTTTCTTGGATATACCCTGTGTTTTTTTCCATTCTGATACCAGGTCGTATCTTAGCTTTCAGATGTTTCTTTTTCCTTTCCAAAGTTATGCTGTTGCTTTTTTTATTGCAACCTTGGCTGCTGTTTCATTTCCTATAATTTCCTCTGCTATCTGAATCATCTTGTGTATGACTTCTCCTCTAATGATGTATGTCGGTTCTACTGTTTCGTGTTTTCCTTTTCTTGTGACTGGTTTGAGGAGGTATTTCCATTGACTTTGAATGAGTCACAGCTGTTTATTTTCATTAGCTCTTGCTACATATTCTTGTGTCAAGAGCTTAATTAGTTTTTCTATTATCCTTGTTTTGTTTGGTCCACATGTGAAAGGATGTAGGTATTTTTCTTCTTGTCTGCCACAGATTATACACATTGATAATTTGTAAATCCATGGTTTGCGTTTATTCATATTTGCCAATGTGGGATGTTCATTGAACCATGTCTTCCATCTGAAGGTTCTGTCCCTGTGGTCATCTTAACTTGTTTAGAGAGATATAGTTTTGAAGGGCATCAGGATCTATATGGTTAGTCACCAGTTTATTTCTTTGGCTTTTTGTCCTGTTAGCCATGTTTGGTTTTGTTGTAATGTTCATCACTTACTGGCCCATTTGGTTTTTAAAAGAGTCTTGCCGATTGTTGTGAAGGGTAGATCCACAAATGACTGGTCCTATCTCAGTGTTGTATTACAGCTTGTGGACTGGAGTTCTTGTATCTTTATAATATCCTTGAAGTTGTCTGTGAGTGTAGTGGCTGCTAGTTTGTCTGCTTGTTTGTTTCTTTTGTCTCCTGAGTAACCTTTTATCTTTGTCCATTGAATTTTAATTTGCTGTACTGTGATAATTTCTTGGATTGTGTCAGTTAACAATCCATTTGGACTTCCTAATTTTTTTCCCTTGGTCTGGTTCTTGTATAAACTTTTTCTTATTGCATTAATTGCATATTGACTGTCTGTGAAAATGTTAATTCTTTTGTTAAAGCTGACTGTACTGATTGCTGTGAGTATCACTGTCAGTTCTGCCCTGGTAGAGAATGGTGTGTCCTGTGTTTCTGCCTGGAAGGTTGTTATTTCCTGTCCTGATTGTGTTTTAGCTACCCATTCGATTCACATCCTGCTTCTAATTGACTATCTTGTGAAGGAGCCATCTGTATAGAACTATATATTATCCTCTGTTGCTAGTGTTCTTGCGATGTATTGCAACTTTTGAATAGTTCTGGTTGATGCTTTTAACTTCCTTTTTATTAAGATTTTGGTAATTAATAAGAAGTCCAAGTAAATGTTGGATGTGTATATATATAAAGTCTTTCTGCTGATTTCCCTTATTGCATGTTCTATTCCTTGTAGAGATAATTGTAATCTGTTGAGTAAGGGTTGCCTGGCATTTGTGAATTGTTGTCCTGAAAAAATTCTGGTTATGCTCTTTTTAACCTTGATGTTTACTGAATGTGCCAGGAGTTACTCCATGATGTATTGTTATTGGTCCTTATAGTTTTTCCTTAGTTCTTGGTTGTTGAAGGGGCATCCTTTGCACTTGAACATCGATGAAGTCTCTTCATTTCTGATCATGTGATTCACGATAACCCTTTGATTGTCTAGTTGTTTCTTTTTCTTTGTTATTATAGTTTCTCCTTTCTTTTTTGTTACCAGCCATTTTATTGTTGACTGATATTGAGCAGGAAGGATGAGAGTGATTGTAAGGAAGCTGTTGATGGAAAGGTTGTTGTCTTCTTGGTTGGATAATTTTTTTCTGTTAGCTTTTAAATATGGTTTTATTTGTGTGATCAGTTCTTTCAAGTCTTTATATCATTTAGATGTTCTACCTTATCTCCCCAGTTTCATTCTTATTTGTTGCCATGATAGGATTCTAGTTCTGCTATCATTCAATAATTGGTCACTAAACATTATCTTCCTCCTTTTGAGTAAGGTTCTATATTTGTTATACCATTTCTCTGTGACTAGTTCTTTAATTGCCTCACCCTTGTTTCTAAATGGTTTTCTGTACCAGGTATGTTCTGTCAGTACTATCGTGATTCCTTGTAGTTTGAGCATGTTCAGGATGTCATTTGTAAAGTGTTCCTTTTCTTAATCCAGAATGGGAGTTTGTCTGTCAGAATTGAAGTGTTTGACCAGTAGTTGTTCTGGAGTTGTTGGAGTCTAATCTGTATAGTGATACCTGCCAAGTTGTAGCTATTTAACCTGTTTGTTAGATTCTTTTTATACATGAGGATTTGTCTGTCCCATAGGTTGAACACCTTGTAGCCAAAGTCAGCATGGAGGATGCAGTTCAGTGTTATTGATGATAGACCAGTCTTGTGCTTGAAGGTTTTGTTTATTTTGCTGCTTATTTTGTCACACTCTTTCTCGGAAAGGACTAGATTATTGAAAAGGTATTCTATTGCAAGGAAGAGAGCCTAATTAATGATGTATCGTGTCTGCTTATCTGTGATTTTCTTTCAAGTCAGTATTCTGATTATGATATTTATCTTTTCTTTGATCATATTTTTCTGTCAGGTCTTCTTTCCATCTTCTGTTATCCATACACCTAGAATTCTTGTTGCTTTATCTTTTCTGAGTGGTAGGATTCATGTTCCATTGAGTTGTATATTTTTTCACTTTGTTCTTGATTTACATTTAGACAAATCAGAGATGATTTCTTTCTATTCACCTGAATGTCATTTATCTTTAGGAATTCTGAGGCTTTATCTATTATTGATTGCATGTTTTATCTACTATTTGTGAACCATATGGTGTTATCCATATATGCTGTCACTATTATTTTTGTTTGTTTTATTCTTTTGTTAACTATCTCATTTTGACTAGGTAATGTCAGGTCTAAGAAAACTTCTGTTTTCATTGTGTATCCAGTGTGTTTGTCTTGAATTTCTTGCAAAAGAGGATCATAGTATACTTTCCAGAGGAAGGAAAAGATGGTGTCTCCTTGATCTATTTCATCGTGGATCCGATATTCTTTTGTAAGATCATGTGCTGTGATTATTCAGTTATTTCTGCTTTTCAATGTGTCATTGAGTATCTCGATTATCTTGTCTGGTATTCAAATTCTTTTGAGAGTCTGGACTAGCATTTTCTTATTTATTGAGTCATATGCTTTGCTGATGTCTTGACTAAAGATCCAGGCCTCTTTCTTATGTTCTCTGGCTTCCTCCATGATGTTGTTGAGGATATGGATTGATTCCTGAGTGCTTCCTCCTGATAAACCTGCCCAATTATTGATGCACAAGATCTTGTGTTTGGTGCAAATAGTTGTAAGTCTTGTATTCAGGA